CCGCTAGCCTCTCTCTGTGTGTTTGTGTGTGTGTGTGGCTCTCTGTTTACGAAAAGCTGTTCAGCAAGTTGCGCGACATGCGATCGGCCCGTCCTCGCTACCGCGCTACATCTGCAGCCGCTTTGAGAGTAGGCTCTAACAATCCTAACCTGTCCTAACCTACGTACAAAATTACAGTTGAAACCTGCGGCCGTACAATCCGAAGGTGGGCCTGGACGCGCTCTGTACTCCGGTTTCGACGGAAGTCCTGTTTAAAAACGAACTGAAATCGAACCATGTCACAGCGCGACACCGATAACAACAGTATGCACAGCCTGCTGGACGAGAAGGCCGTCGACCTGGAGAGTTGTAGAAAATTAGTCAAATCGTACGTCGACCTGGTAAGCGTCGCTTAAAGTCGCCGCGTCGGCCGTCGCAGCCCTTAAAACTCACTTGCGTTTATTTCTCAGCACCTGTACAGTGCCGCCTTGTTTTGGGCCGACAAAGTGGTGTCGCTGAGCAACGAGAACCCAAAGGATGTGTGCACCCTGGCGCAGTGTATGTACCTCATGAAGCAGTACCATCGTGCTGTGCACCTCATCAAGAGATACGGACTGGAGAAGGTTATTACAGTGATCGCCGGATGCGATTACTCGGATCTCGCGTGAAACGCCGGCCTTTGTGCGTCGTCTACGTGGAGTAGCTTTAGCTTTTAGTGTAAGGAAGCTAAAGTACGGGCGTAATTTTTCAAATATTCCAACATCGGCCGATGGCGTACCGATTCGCCGAGAGTTAAGCGCGAGAGCTGAAGTAGGAGTAGGAAATAAAATTGATTTGTTTCCTTAACTCCTCCTTACCCCAGGCCTGGCTCCACACGTTGTAGACGACGCATTACGTTCAAGGATTTACGACTAATCATGTGACAATTTGTTGACGCAGAGCGACGTCATGTGCCATTACTTGACCGTGAGGTGTCTACTGGAGGCAAAGGAGTACAACGATGCGCTTCAAGTGATCAACGAGTCTGAGATATACACGAACATAACGCAAGCAGGCATCACCTTCGCCGATCGCACGGACATTTTTCAGAACGCCCCCAAAAACGTACGGGATACAATTGTATTTATGCATGTGTATTTACCAGGGTTGGCAAAGTTACACTTACAGTTTTTTTCGCTAAAAGAATTTAACTAGTTACAATTACAAGTTACCGATTCTGAAAAGTTAGTCCCAGTCCACAATAGATGATTTAAGCCCTAAGCTTTAAGAAATTGACCAATCACGGTCAAGTATGTGTAGAATACGCGACTGTGATTAGTCAATTTCTTAAGGCTTAGGGCTTAAATCTCTATTGTAGACTGGGACTAACGCGTTACAGTTACAGCTACTCGCAAAGTAACGAATTGTTACTTTGCAGTTACTCCTTTGCGACGAAAAGAAAAATATCAGGTCTGCATTTGAATTATAAAGCGGTGATAAAGGCGTTTATGCGCAAGGCTTAATGCAATCTGGAGGTTTAAAAAATATATAAAGTAACTATTAAATTGCTAGTTGTCAAAAAAATGTAACCGAGTTAAGTTATAGTTACAGATTTAGAGAAAGTAACAAAGTTAAGTTAGAGTTGCCAGAAAGAAGTAACTGTAACTTCGTTACAAGTGACGAGTTACTTCCCAACCCTGGTATTTACAATGTACATCGATTTGTAGTCGTCTTGACCGCGGTATCGTTACGTTAGAATTTTAAATAATTAACATACATCTTGCAGGTTCAGAGCTCAATATTGTACGTGAAAGGGAGAGTGTACGAGGCTATGGATAACAGAGCGGTGGCGACGGAGTGTTACAAGCAAGCCTTACAGTGCGACGTTTACTCGTACGAGGCGTTCGAAGCCTTGGTGCAAAATCAGATGCTCTCGGCTACGGAAGGTACAGTAATTCTGTCGGATGCGAATTGAAATATTTTTTGACAGTTTGTACATGTGCGCGCAATTGTTAACTTAGAGCGAGAGCTGTTGGAATCCTTACCCTTCGGTGACCAATGCACGAAAGGCGGAGCGGAGCTCCTGCGACTGTTGTACGACAGCAAGTTGAAGAAATATCAGGAGCCGAACGCAAAGCAGTCGTTAATTACGTGTAACGTGATGGGAGTTTCCGTCACCGCTAGACTAAAGGACAACTTGGACATGGAAGTCACGAAAGCTGAGAGATTATATTACAATTGTGATTATCATCAATGTTTCTCGCTTACAGAGAAGTAGGTATCTATCGAAATGTCGTATCTCGCCCTGTGTCTCGTGGCACGATGTAACGCGATATCTCTGATGCTTAGAATCTTGAAGAAAGATCCGTATCACAATTCCTGCCTGCCGGTGCACATCGCCTGTTTAGTCGAGCTCAAGAAGACCACCGGTAAGTCCGCATTCCGTCGCGACGAATCGACAATGCCGGGACTCGTTAACGGTGACACTTTATTCCTCAGCTCTGTTTCATCTGGCGCACAAATTGGTTGACTTGTACCCGGAAATGGCCTTGGCATGGTTCGCAGTTGGATGCTATTACTATACCATAGGTGATTGCTGTTTAGTAAATATTTCTTATAGCGAATTCGGTTCCTTACACCGAGCACACACTGAAGCTTGTTTATAGTCAATTCTTATAAGACTATAGCCCAACATGGCCGCAGTAAATGTGCCGTCCCTCCTGAGACCGAGCGGAAAACATCCACCGCCTCCTGAATGTTACCCATTAGCGCGCGAGTGAATCCTATCGACGAGTAAGTCGGCGGGTTTTAACTAAATAAAAATATATGTAACTTTGTCTCAAGTACACCGTCCAAGAATATTTAACCAGAAACATGATCCGTCGTGGATGTTGCACAGATCATTTTACTGGCTAAGAAATATGCGAGAGATATTTAAGATCTTTAAATATAAGAATTGACTGTAAACTTAGCGTGCACTGAGTGCGCACTAGTACAAGCAACCGAATTCGCTATTTAGACTAAACAAGATTATAAATTTATGGAAAGATATTGAATTCAAATGAATGTAAAGATATAGCTTTGCAAATGAAAAGAAACTGTTTCCATCTCACTGTAGGCAAAAGCGACCAGGCGAGAAGGTACTTGGCAAAGGCTACCGCACTGGACAGACTATTTGGTCCCGCTTGGTTGGCTTACGGACACTCCTTCGCGGTTGAAAACGAACACGATCAGGCGATGGCAGCTTATTTTAAAGCGTCGCAGTTAATGAAAGGCTGCCACCTTCCGCTTTTATATATCGGGCTAGAGTGCGGCTTGACGAACAATCTTAAACTGGCCGACAAGTTCTTTCAACAGGCTCAAGGAATAGCACCGAAAGATCCGTTCGTAATACACGAAATGGGCGTAATATGCTTTTACAATCTGGAGTAAGTATCGCAATGTATTCGGTATTCTCTCCTGCGTTAATTTAAACAGCAGTGATTACAAATCGCTCGACTCGCCAATAAATTATCACGAGAATTATTCTTGTTAAATACAGTTACAAAAATGCAGAACGATTATTTAAGGAAGCTATGAAAAGCATTCAGGGCGACCTAAGGAACGTGATTCTGCCTAGTAAATGGGAGGCGCTACTGAATAATCTCGGCCATACTTGTAGAAAGATGAAAAAGTACGACGAGGCACTAGAATACCATCAACAGGCGCTAGTCTTAGATCCCCTGAACCCGTCGACTTACTCGTCGATCGGATTCATTCACGCGCTAATGGGTAACATCCAGGAGGCGGTGGATGTTTTCCACAGGGCGCTCGGCCTCAGGCGGGACGACACATTTACCGCGACCATGTTGGGTTACGTTATGGAGCAACTGATCGATGAGACACCCCCGTATCCTGGTGTGTATACAACTGAGTCGGTCTATTACAAAAAGGATAATGTTAAAAGAGGGGAAAGCTATCGGTTGCATAGAAAGTTAACTTTTAAATTTGACGCGACACTTGGTCAGCGATGATTCAACGCTTTCCAATCTTCGCGGGACGATTTGGCAGGTTCTTCTGTAACAATCGACTTCACTTGACACTCCATTGTGCTACGGAAAATTTATTTCAAATAGTATTCCATTATTCTCCGAAATTCATGGCTAAAATCGTAAGCCCAAATGTTTCAGACGCACCCACGGAGATACCGAAATACAAATCCGAGGAAAACGAAGCCAGGTTGTCCGAGGATACTGAAATCAGGCTGTCCGTGGAGGCTCCCAACGTGGGCAGCAGCACGAGTGGACAGAGTATCGACAAATTAAGAGTAAATCTGTTCTCCGGCAGCTGGGGGGAGAATTCTGGCAAAGCGGAAGCCAGTACGCCCGGCAAACTGGACCAGCAGACGCGGGATGTGCTGGTCGTGAATTACTCGAACGGTGACAGTTCCGAGGTTGAGATGCTGGATTCTTCAACCGCGCACATAGAATATAATTAGGCCGCAAACTTCTCTTTAGCCGCAACCGAGATAACGGTAATTTTTTTTTACCGATCTCTTAGCTTCGTTTAGGGTAGATTCAGTGTAGCAAAAGGATTGTAAATAGCGTGTACATACTTTTCTTTTTTTTTTATATATATAAACTCTAATTTTGATACACCTTGTAAAAACCACGAGTTTCTTGCGGCAAGGACGCTATACTTCGTCGGTATCGTGCGTCTGTGACAAGACAAATTTGTTGGCTTGGAAAAAAGAAATAAAGAATGAGAGGGTGTTTTGAAAAAGGCGCTTTCCCCGCGTGTCTCATTTTGTCTCGAAGTTTAAAATTTTCTTTTCTCGAAACCCCCTTATTCTTTGTTACAAAAACGGTGAAGTTTTGAAAAAGCGCGCGAACAGCACGCGTGCGCGCATGCGTGTGGGGGGCAGGGGGGAACGGGGAAAAATGCGAAAAGAGGATGAAGCGTTTAATTAACATTTTAGGACGAACCCTCCGAGAAGAGGTAAATTAATGAGGAGGAAAATATGGGTGAGGATAAAATTAGAAAAGCCGGAGTCGGACAACGGAATCGCGGCGAGTCGGCGGAGCGGAAGAGGTGGGAGGGGGGGTGGGGGGGAGGAGGAGGGAGCGACGGAGATCTTTAGTCGGACTCGCGGCGGGGTAGGTGGTACGGCATGCGGGAGAGTGGGCGTCCCGCTTCCGCCGCCCGTGTCGTCGGCAATTAAAGCCGGAGAACGGGGCCAGGACGATTCTCGTTGATCGCCGGGGCAACAGCGGGCAGCGCGCGGCGGACGTCACGGCGTGTTTCGAGTGTTCGCGCGCGCGGCCCGTTAAAATCCTCCCACCGCGAGCCCCGCGATTCCGAGAAGCCACCCCTCGCCGCCGCCGTCGTCGGTCTCGCCGTCGTTGTCGCATCACTCGCGCCTAACTTCCCGTGGAGCGCGCAGCGGCGCGTGAAGTTTGTTGCTTAATCGCGCGTTGTGGTAGTGGCGGACGGGATCGAGTCGGCTCCGAGCGCTCGTGTCCTTCGTGCGGGAGCGAGCGGCGCCGTGGTGACTCCTCGACATCGCGCATCCTCGGGGCTTCCTCGCGACGGGACACATGCCCACGCTGATGCAACCGGTAAGTCTCGTCTCGTCTCGTCTCGTCTCGCGCGCGAGGGGGAGGACGCGGGATCGCGCTGGCCGCCCGATCCGATCGATCGATCAATCTGGACCCCGAGGGGAAGATTCGCGCCGGTGCGACTCCCGGCTCTTCACACCGCGCGCGCCAAGGTACGCGGGTATTTAGGTACATGGGCAATATTACGCAGCTACGCGCGAGGAGGCATGGTGCTCCGAAGATGGAGAGCGGGAGGGGAGGATCTCGAGACAAAGTCGCGACATTTTGGAAATTAGCAGCGGAAAAGGAGAGGCCTGCGGACTTGGCGCCCGGCGTCGCAGTTCTCTCTCTCTCTCTCTCCCCCGGCGTGCGATCGGCCACCTCGGCGATACCGGGCGCTCGATGCGCTCCAGGAATGCCCCGGGTTCGCCAGCTCGCTCGCCGATACGCGGGCACGTCGCGAAGGAATGTCGCGCGAAACGTAAATAAACACGGCCGCGCGCCGTTCGGCGCGACGTAAGTACGACGCGAGCGGAAATTCCTCCCGTCCGGACGCGCGTCTCCATCCGGGCGACCCCCCGCGGGCACGGGATCGTCGCCGGCGGCGCGGGGGAGGGCGCGGAGATCCCGAGGGCGCGACGGGAATCCGGGTCGGTCGATCCCTCCGCGAGGGACGGGGGCGCGCGGTAAACAACGCGCCCCGCGTGCCGCGATAACACACTGTAGATAGCCTTCGTACACGAGTGGCTCAACGTCTGCCGATTCTTCTTTCCCGGATTTCGCCGCTGAAGAAAAAGAAAGAAAATCGACCGGGGACTCTCCGTCGGCGTCTCTCCTCGAGGTTTCCTCTCGCGCTCTCGCGTTTCAGAGATAATCCGCTACGATTCCGGCGGCGGAGCGAAAATCCGTCCCTCCGGGACGCTGGAACGTGATAGCGAAGGGAATCGCGCGAGTTCGCTTTACAGAATTCCCGAATTGTCGAGTAAATTCAATTTCCTTGGGGAGGAAAATTCCGAATTCCGCGAAACTCCGGGATCGCGCGCCGAGGCGAGAGTCGCCCGCGCGAATCTCCGTTGCGCGATTATCGTTATCGTCGACCTCGACGAGGCAGGGCAGCCCCCGCTTTCGGGGAAGGGGTCACACCTCGAGACCGTCGCTTCGAGGGGAGAGGATCCGGGCACCGGGCACGTGATACTCGGTTTCCGCGCGATATCGTCGGAGCGCTTAATTACCTCGGCGGAGACGAGGAATTTCGACGGTTTAAAACGCGCGCCACGCCGCAGGATATTCCCGTTTGGCGAGGAGCCGCCCCGCTCCAGGATATTGCGACCGATCGATTCATTGATTGACTATTAAGTAATTCCGTGCGCACAATTCTCTTTCTTTCGGTTAACAAATTACACCCTGGCCCAACGTGCAGCGAAGACCCGCGTCCGCGACGCTAAAACTTGGTCCAGAGGATCGATTCTGTATTTTACAATATAGCGAAAACACCGGGGGAAAATAAGGGGACAAGTTAGAAGGAGACAAAGCTACTCGCTTTCAGCATTTTCATTATAGCGTAAGATACAGAATTGACCCTCAGGTTCTAGCTTGGAGAAACGTGTGGCCAGCCGACTTGCGGCTGTTCCGTGCACGAGCTACGCATTTTTCGAAACCAGAACGGGCCTTCACGGCCGCGAAAGTTCCCGCCGATCGCAAGCGCGGGACTCGCTCGAGCCGGCGGGAAAAGCCTTTGGGCTTTGGGAATTTGTTCCCGGAAAACCCCGCGGAATGTATTTTCCGGCGCTACTTCCCCTCGCCCTCCCCCGTTCCTAAAGAATTTTGTGCTCTTTTTTTTTTTCACGAATTCCACAAACCCGAGCGGCGCCGCGCCGCGCGCCGGGCGCGTGGTGGTGTCCTTCAGGCGGAAGTTCTGTTTTCGACGCGCCGCGCAGTTCGCCGGCGTCGCTCGCACGGCTCGTGTCGTCGGCTACCGGGCAGGGATTACGCGAGGAGGTAAAGCGGAGCTTCATCCCCCGTTGGCGACCGGGGGCGTCGCGACACCGCGAATCCAGTGTGCCAGTATTGCGTTACGAGCTGCAAAATGTTAATCCCGCAGGGGAGTTGAGGGGAGTCGTTGGGATATTTCTCTCTTCTTTCCTTCGACGCCGGCACCGCACTTAGACTTTGTCAGTTAACTTCTCCGCTAATGGCCGGTTTCACCCACCTCTTGGTAAGTTAACGAATAAACTGATAAGAATATTCTCGAATGACGCCAGCGGTAACTAACAACATCGGTGCTTCGTTGACCGTATCTGGCAATTTTAATAAGACAGAAAATTTGCCGACCATTCGGCGTGTAGGCAAGTCCAGGTTCAAGTGTTTAGCAATATTGGTCCAACATTGACGCAATATTAAATAAGAGAAGGCGCCCGTCTTACAATATTGGCCCAATATTGGGAATACTAGATTTACATTATTTCCCATCAATATCGCGCCGTTATATTCTGCTACCAGGGACACATGTGATTGAACCATTAGTTAATTTGCCAAGAGGTTGGAACAACCGGCCCCAAATCGCGTTCCTTGAAAACAAGTAAATAATTGTTGCTGATGAGGGAGAGGCAAGCTTTCGTGTGACTGCCCTGTTGAGCTTTTGTGCCTTGATTCCAGTTTACCCCCCGAAATGTATGCGAGACACGCGCGAGTCTCTTCTGTTTATAAACTAGACCTAGGTACTCTGTAACTCGGGATTATCTACGTGGCCGAGAGCGGCGATCCGAAAAACGCCGGGGGTTTATGGGGAAAACCGGTGTATCTCTCGAGTACCCCAAACCGTCCGGGAAGGACGGGCCGAGGGGCTCTCGGCGAACGCGTGCTTTTGCCGGAATTCAGTTTTGGCCGCGCAGAGTACGTGGAATTGCGCTCCCGCGGACGGTGTCTGTCGAGCTGCGTCGGGATTACTTTCGCGGAGAAATCAGCTCTATCCAATTTCCATTCACGTACTCGGCCTTACGGCACGTGTCGCTTTTACTACTTGAACGGTAAGAGCGGGAACAAGTGGCTCAACGTTTCCCGCGATTCTTCTTTCCCCAGATCTGATCGCTCGAAAACAAAGTCGATCGGAGACTCTCCGCTCGTGTCCCTCCTCGAGGCGCTTTCTTTTGCGCAAAAAACTTTGAATTTTGAGAAATGTTCGCTCCGATCCTGGCGGTGGAATGAAAATCCAGCTCCCCGGAATACTGGAACGAAATAGCCAAGGGGGAAACCGCTGAGGGCATTGTGGTGTACAGATTTGGGCATTACCAGGCGTTACTACACTGAGAAAAATGTCCGATTAAATGATAATCGGATAATCCAATTGCATAATAACAAACGGATATGATTAGATAAAAATTTGATCGGTTTGTCGGCCAAATTTCATCGGTAACTGCATTTCATCGGATGTGTCCATAATTTAATCGGAAAACGTAGCCGGAAAAATTAACCACCGGAAACACTATTTAATCGGTTTATCCGATGGAAATTTTTCTCAGTGTTGGCATTTCTGTGCATTTTTGGCCATTAGTTTGGACATCGGGCCTTGCCAAGGCATTATAAAGATAAAACAAGATAAGAAGATTAAGAAATGCCCAGTGGGCATTGGTGTACGAGATTTTGGTCAGCGGTTTCCCCCTCGAGATTATCTAAAGAATTTTAAAAAGCGAATTCCTTTCACAAATTCCGTTCACAACCGCTATCTGTGCTTTATGGGTTGAGGGAGGGGGGGGGGGGAGGATATTATCTGAACTATTCGAGGGATAGAGCGATGAATGGCAAGGAAACGTCGACATTGCAGTCGGACATTTCACTGGTGAGCGACGAGGTCGACGAGACGGACGTCGGATTCGATCGAGGCTTCTCGATGCATCATCAGGATCCGCTGCACCACCAGGATGCGACGCAGAGCCGGGAGCGCAGCAAGCTGCTGCTGCGCAAGCTGAGCCAGACCTGCGAGCGGGAGCGCGGCAAGGAGCGCGACCAGGAGCGCGAGAGGCTGCATCAGTTGCAGTCGATCAACAATCTGCTGCTGGACCTGCCGACGCCGCCGTCGCCGTCGCACCTCCCGAATTTCTCACAGGACCTCTCCTCCTCTTCCCAGTCGGACAAGAACGCCAGTACCGACGGTAAGACGGCGGGGATCCTCCTCTCCCGCTTTCACTT